AAGCACAAATATCTGATGAATATCGTCTTTCTATTTGTCATACAAGAATATATCAGAAATGATAGCATCTCTAACGTTTCTTCGATGATTTAAAAATAAGCTCATTGATTTTTTTCCCAGATAATGTGTTTTACTTAATGTAGGACACCAATTCAGCAGCTTATACGACAGAAGGCTGTCTGTACCGTGCAAGAGTTCTTATAAAGTCTACTGGCATCAAAGAATTTGGTGTACAATCGGCTGAAAATTAATGTAATGAATTATATAAATGCAAAATGACTGTGATTCTCATGCCTTATAGATAACAAGATCTAGATGAGATCCGCCCCGTCCCGTACTCCCTAAAAAATTTTCGTATTGAACAGAATCAAAAAAGGGCATTTCCGTGCCAGGATACCCTTTTTGGAATCTCTGAGTAACAAATGTAGATATCCACTATTTTTGGTTCTGTGGACTGAGGAATACTCTCAAAGAAATCTTACAAACTCAAAAAGGTATACTGAAACACCAAAATGGCATTGTAAAATATGGTTAAGGGTATTTCTGATTCCAGAGCCCCAAAAAAAGGTTATCTGCATTTGTTACTCAGAGATTCCAGAAAGGGTATCCAGGCATGGAAATACCCTTTTTTGGTTCCTTTTTTTTAGAGAGTAGTTTGGAGAGTTTCGTAGAGCAATAATAACCCGCGTGCGCCCAAGTAAGTCTGATCTGAACCGAAGTTTCAGGGAATGTTGACCATGTCAAAGTGTGGTAACGAAATTTTTTTGGCTCCACTAGCAACTGTTCGTGAGAGGAAGCCACAACAAGGACCAAAAATAGGCGTCTATCACGTGCAAGAATTCTCATCCCAGATAAATGATAAAGAGCTTGGACTGTTTTTGTTTTGCAGTAAACACCTATGCCTAGGAGCTGACATAGTCCGATTTTTGAATTTCTCATTTAGTGATTTCTAATAGATCTTATTTATCTATAAGGCTTTTTCAGAAATCTCTATCTCAAAACTCCGAGATGTAGCATAACTTTTCTCCATCGAGACATATAGAACTCGAGGAGCTCGTTCATCTGATATCAAGTTCAAGATTCTTCGTTAGGGAATGTGACCAGCAGACGTTCTATAAATTAGGCCAAATCCGCCGGAAAATGATGAAAATGTATTTATCCACTGTGAGGGTAAAATGGCTATAACTTTTTTTCTAACAAGGCTAAAAGTCAAGACAAGTATTACAACAGTACAACAGTACAAAACATTAAATTGTCATGTCACTCAACTAGTCGTAAATACCCATTCTGCTCCTCCGCGGTGCAAGAACTTCACTCCGATTCAACCATACCGCTGTCATATTGAGCACCCACATAAGCTATTTCGGTGGTCCACTCAACACCTGATCTGAAAATCGAAGATAGGGAAAGGTTTACTTTCTTGACCAATCAACTTCTAAAAAATTTTTCCAGGCTACAAGAAAGCAGGAGCCAAAAGTAACATGTGAAAATAAATGTGGATATGATCAGCTATCACCGCCAATACGAACTACTCAAAAACAGCAGGGACTGTTTTCCTATAGAAATCCCCCGCCCCTCCTCTCCTTTAAGGTTCGACGGGACAGACTTAAAATTATCCAATAAAACATGAATTTGTCGACATATCTTACAGGCATTTCTTGAAGTTAGACAGATTTCAAATCTGAATAGGTAATTCTCCAATTGGAGGTTTTCCAAAACAAATTACGCTCATCACTAGATTTCAAATCTGCATGAACAATGCATTTTACTGTAAAAATCGGTTTTAATACCTATTTTGACTTCATAAATTATTCAGATATGTAGATAAGGTTCAGCGAGCACTACACAGGGGAACACAAAACTAAATTTCAACGAAAGTGACCGAGAAATAGGTTTTTAGTGAACGGATATATCCGTTGTAGTTTGATTTGTGGCTCATTATTATGGCTTTAGTGCTCGTCAATCGTTGCTAGACCTTGAACCTTACGGTTTTCGAATCCCTGAGCTGGAAATCCATGTTTGACCAAAATTGATTTCCGATTCCAAATCTGCCTGAATTTGACAAAATGATGTTTTATTTAACAATTTTAACCTAATCATATCTCAAATTTATCTAATCAAACTTAGAACTCTAGTTTTATCTGTAATATATGCACATCTTATCGTATCCGAGATTAGAAGATGCACTATATGCTAGAGTTCTATTACCGAAGTTGTAAGAAATATTGCACAAATCAAAATTTAAGTAAAAATGATCTAGTCTATTGGAACATAACACTTTTATTAAAAATATTTCAACATATTACGAGAACTATATCACAAATAATATCACATAATCATCTTTTTCATGGAGATTGATCACAGGCTACTTCTAAATAACCGTCACACTCTGAATCGAACTTGTAAAAATCGTCCTTTAAACGGTGCATTATGTAATGCTTTTATGGCATTTAATGCATCATTTATTAATCGTAAAATAACAAATCCGTATCCTAGAGTCAAGTAATAAAGTAAGTCAATTAAAAAGTATCTCTTTTTTGAGTAATAAATACCTTTTCCAACACCAGTGTGTTTATTTTTGATAACGTCTGTTCGAATAATTTCTCCGTAACCAGTGAATAAAGCGTTCACTTCATCTGCCGTTGTATCTGGTCCGATACCATAAACAAACACAACATAACCACCAGTAGCCGTATCAATAACATTGGTAGGTATCGATGAATCATTTGATATTGTTGTTTGATTTCCGTACGAACAACTCTCACGTGATATCGATCGACTCAATGATTTATGCGATGAATGGGATGTTGTGACATACTCATTCGAACTCTGTATATGATCAGTTGTTGTATTCGACGCTGTTTGCGGTGGCTTGGGATACATGGGAAATACGGGTAACGGCAATGTCGAACACATATTGGACCAAAACGGCATCATAAGCAGAGCGTTCATCAATAAATTATTAACATCTTGTGACTGTTGGTGTTGTTCTCCACCACCATTAATACTACCACTAAGGCTAAGATTAGCCATTTGTGCAGCAAGATTTGCGGTAGTGGTTTGATTCAAAACATCGTCACTATTTGATGAATCCATCATTTTTATTCCATCAATGCCCGATGATAAATTGATCGATTGTGGTAGATAACGTGCCATCAATTGTCGTCTATTATTTGAAATGAAACATATTAATTCAATAAAATTAAAAAAGATCTTGTTCACCTTTTATCATCATCAGCAAATTTAACAAGGAGAGGTCGTTGTCCTTCAATTATTTGCACTCCATTTAATGCTTCGACAGCTGATTGTGCTTGGGATCTTGTACCCATAATAACAAAAGCGATGCCTCTTGGAGATTCTGTTGAGTGATCTCGTATGACACGTGCTTGTATAATATCACCATATGGGATAAATAATTCACATAATTCATTTTCATCATATTTATCTACAAAAAAGAAAAAAAAGATATAGAACTACCATTATTCTTTTTAGTTTGTACAATAGATACATCTACCTGGTAAATTTCTGATATACAGATTTGTCCCACGTGTTTCTTCACATTTTGGTCTAGCATATGAAACTTTGATTGTTTTATGTTCCATTTTCAATCCATTCAATGTATCGATTGCTAAAAACAGAAATAGACATGTATTATTATTCTTGTTAATAAATCGAACAATATTCACAACAGACATACCTTTTGATGCATCTTCTGTTTTAAAATAATCGATAAAACCATATCCATAACTATAACCAGTGCCGCGATCAAACCTAAAAATAATGTGAATCATTAAATATATAATTTAAAAAAAGACTACTATTATTTTACTTACATTAATCGACAATATCTTAATCGTCCAATTTGTGAAAACATTTGCCGAAATTGTTGTTCTTTAACGGATTGCGGTAAATAATTAACAATTAAACATGTTCGATTACCACTACCATTATTTGAACCATAACCACTTGAATCTGTACCTTGAACAAAGACATAGAGAAAGAAAGAGATCTTATGGAAAAAAAAATCAACTGAAAATTTATGACTTGTAATAAATAGAAATTTGAAATAATATTAAGACAATGTTCAAGTTTTTTATTTTTTATGGATATTCACCTTTTGTATGACCACTGCCCAATGAGATATCGGACATTGTATTTCGTCTTGTTAAATCGATCAATGATCGTTGTGATTGTGACTGACAATTAATTGATGGTTGATGTATCGATTGTTGCTGAAAGGTAACAACATTCATCTTTTGTATGTCAACCATTATATTTAACTATTAATATTTTTTCTAAAAGAATGATTATAATAAATATTAAATTATTTAACAAAAATTCATACTCTTTAAAAAATTAAATTAAATACTCTTTTTACTAATAACGATAATTACATTCGTCGTTTTATTTCCAAATAATAACTATTCATTAAGTGTACTAGATAAGTTCATTGTAGAGTGAATGAAATGCTTCTAATCAAATACAAACATATCCTAACTAATTTTTAAAATTAAAACTACACTTTTGATAAAACATTTTCTGCGTTATTATACTTGTCCTCTGGAAAATAAAAGTGAGAAATTCAAGAGTACAGTAGAGTTTTTTTAATATCAATATAACTTTTAATGCAAGACAAACACAATATTTTGTGTTTCATGATACTTCGAATTACAGCTGAAAATGTTAGCCTTGATTTGCCTCAGAAAACGTGAAAAACTAATTGTTTTAAAATCAAATTTTAGGTTTTGTTTCTTATAGTACTACAAACTTTCATCAAAAAGTGAGTTTATTGAAGATTTTTCTTACGAGGGAACCCCACGAAGTGATTAAACGCTTTTTGCTCGGAATCTAGTGGGTTATAGGTTATCGACCATGCTGATTACGAATACGACCATGCGGCTTCCGCATAGCCCTTCGAAGACCTGG